GATTTTTGTGATAGTATGTTTGTGTGTGTGTTTTTTGTGATAGTGTGTGAGAGAATGTGTTTATGGCTGGGTGTGTCTGCAAGGCCCCAGACCTGAGTGTAATCAGCTGACTGTAGTGACAGTGCCACTACTCTAAGTCTGATTAATGAAGCTGTTTATTCCGCACCTCATCAGCCACCGTCAGCGAGCACTCCACTACCACAGGGAACACCACTTTACAGAGAGAGAGAGAGAGAGAGAGAGAGAGAGAGAGGCAAAGGAAAAAGTTTTTGTTTTTTTGAGAGTACCAGAAAAAGGACAAAATGAGAAGCAGAGGACAAAGGTTTACATCCAAGCACAAGCTCTTAAGTTCAGTATCTACTCTTTATTTCTCCTCAATGGTCAGCACTAGCACTAATCTAATCGCTTCAAACATCTGTACCGGCCCACCTCATGACACTGGTTTTAAAACTTACACAGCCTCACTCAGGAATAAGTCACCCCCAAAATAAAATGCTGTCATAATTTCCTCATCCTGACATCATTCCAAAACTGTATGACTTTCATCAGCAGAAATCAAGATTTTTTGAAAAATGTAACTAAACAGTTCTCTTACGAGAGGTTCTCTCGTGTTGCGTAAGTTAGCTTGGGCTACGGGGAAAGATTCATCTTTGAGAAATTGAAGTCAAAAAATGATAATTTTTGTATATTTTGTCAACGCAGTGCAGCAGCTAGCAGACCTAGAGCATGCTGTCTAGCGTGCTCATTGGCGGCCCTGCGGCAACTGCAGCAGCCTACCACTGAGCCTGTCGTGAAGTCTCGCCCAATGAAGGGCCCTCATTATGTCTTAGCCCACCAGAATGGTCATAAGACTCCACTCACGTGTCTCCTCGACGCCCTCCCAAGTGGACGATGCCACCAAGAAGGGGAGAAAGGCCCGGGTCCAGCTGCCACTGATTTAAGGAGCGACACTCCAGCTCAGCTGTAGACCGCTCACGTGATCAGCCTCCTGCGTGAAGCGCTACCCAGCGTCCAGCTCAGCCTCCATCCTTGCAGTAACGTGAGCATGTGAAGTCCTTCCAAGAGTCCCACCTCTGTCGGACCGCCGTCGAAATATCTCACCCTGTCAGTCCCCTTAGAAACAGGTTGCATAATGTCTGCGCCTGGTTATCCGGCTCACGCCGTTTGTGTCCTGTGTGTAGAGAATTTGCCCACGTCTCAGTGTTCACCCCTACATGTAAGCACGATACCCCCCGTGTCTCTCACACTCACAGAGCCCACCTTCTTAAAGGGGTCATGAACTGGCTTTTTAAATTTTATTATATTGTTGTTTGAGGTGAAATTATGACGTTCGCTTGGTTTTTGCGTTCAAAAACATCAAAATGAATAAGTAATAAGCTATTTTCTACCCTAGCTTTCACCCCAGCTCAGAAACACTTGATTTTTAATGGGCTTCTCACACTGAAGACCTGGAAGTAAACGCCCACTGCTGTGAGTGGATAACAGTTTTGCATATTAAAATGAGTTTTTCAACTCACCTCGTCGGTGTACGTGGGGAAAACTGTTTTGAAAACTTCAATGTTGTAAAATGGCAACCGGAAATAATTCGCCCATACATGTTCGACCCAGAGTCCGTGTGTTGCACAATTCCTGTCAGATCCAATTTAGACGGCACAGCACGTTCTTTACTCTTAATCGGTCAGAAAATCCAGTCTTGTTTACAATCCTCAGTGAAATGAAGCGAACAGACGGTTTTACCTCATCGGTTGGAACTTTAATTAAAAAAAAAGTTTTTGCAGTCCTATTGGAATCCAGAGGAAGCTTATGCAGCGACTGTCTACTTCCACAACTGGCACTGCAAAATATTTTGTAGCTTGATCCGGTTTGTCATCACGAGGTAGGCCTATGTTATTTAGCTATCCGTGTAATGCGTGAATTGGTGGGCGGGGCTAAAAGTAGGCAGACTGATCTCATGAAGTAGCGTGTGTATGACACTTTAATTCGTATTTCCATTTTTGGCGTGCTATCAAGATGCACAATCGCTTTTCAGCATGTTTATGAACGCCGTAGACTTAACGTTATTACTGTATATATAAATATATGACTTACCTCAACCCCGTCCCTAAACCTACCCATCACTGGGGTTAATGGCATTTATGACTGTTCCCTTACCTAGGAAAAAAAAAAGATCGCTCCCCAGATGTAGATCTACATTTTGCTTCGTTTCGCGCGGACATTTCACGGCGTGTACAGACACATGGAATCACTTGGACGTTAATGGCGTGGACATACACGCATACACGCGGATAGCTCAAAATGCGTAGAGATAACACGTCACTTGACTCGAAAGTGGCGTGTATGTTTACGCAAAAGTCATGATGTCATGTTGAAGTAGGAGTTGATCTTCTTCTGCGGGGGTGGTGTTTTAACCCCTTTGACGTCATAGTTCCCCACTTTTAAAAACGAGTCGTTTGCTGGGGCTGGTGTCAATAAAAGGTTTTATTGGACTAACAAGGATGTTTTCAGTTCTGAAACTTACAGGATATTCTTATAATATGATGACCTCTTAGATGTCAAAAGCTCAAGAAAAATTTGATTTCTCAGTTCATCACCCCTTTGTGATGGCAAATGCCGATCTAGTGTCATATTGGTCAGATTATGAATGCAAGTTACGTGCCCACTCACGCTTACTAATAAACTCTTTGCTCCGACGCTGCTCGTGCTTCACAGAATGGCTATTCTGCTTCTGACTGTAAATGTAAGTTACGTGCCCACTCACGAGTGCTCACACTTACTAATAAGCAATTCACCCCCGGCGCTGCTTGTGCATCAAAACGTTATCACAAAACGTTCCCCATTCAAAGCAATCGGGATGACACATGTGAAACAGCCAGCCATCGCTGTCAGCAAGCCACTGTATTCCAGCACCGAGGGCTCGCGCGCTGCGCCCATGTAAGTGCCCACTCACGCTTTCTAATAAATAATGCACCCCAGGCGCCGCTCGCACATCAGTCTGGTTTTCCGGCCAAAGCGGATGGTGTTTTATGTGTAGAAAAAGTGCCCACATCTCAGTGTTCACCCCTACACACAAGCAAAACACTCCCCGTGTCACTCACAGAGACCACTCTCATAAAGCTGGCAAATGCCGCTCGATTGTTGGAATGTTGGAAAAGTGGCCTCAAGTCCGTGCCCGCGCCTACTCTCTGCCCACTTTGTCACACGGCCAAAATAGCCTCATATGGTCAGGTTATGAATGTAAGTCTGCTCCTGGTCTGCTAGCGGCTGCACTGTGTTGACAATGAATAAAAAAATGAAGGTTAATTTTGGCTTTAATATCTCCAAAAGATTAATCTTTCCCCATAGCGTAAGCTAACTTACAAAATACTCGTTTCATCTTCTAGAGAAAACTGAGGTTACGTTAGGTAACCGATATGTTTTGGTGACTATTGACTTACATTTGAATTAACAAAATAAACACATTGAAACAATTTTTCTTTTCTGCAAAAGAATGACATGAGAGTGAGTAAATAATGACAGAATTTTTAATGTTGGGAAGGAACAATCCCTCTTAAAGAGCCATTTCATGCTCCTTGGTAGCATTTTCTTTTCTCTGTGGTCAATGTTTAATATTAATCAAATTAGCAATACAATCTGACATTAACTGTCCAATAAATGTTTTTTTATGCTCAATTTGCCTCAAAATATGTATTTAATTTTGGCAAAAGCCAATGCACATGAGTACTGTAGTCCCAAATGCACATCTAGGACACCAGAGCTTAACCAATTGCCTGTTGCAATTTGTCTTATTCATATAGATAGGAATGAAACATTATGGTATATATGCAGTCTTTTTATTAAAGTGGGGCAAAAAATGCTGTTGCTTCAAATCAAACAGTAGTAAAACGATGTAATGTGTCTTTGTTCTTGGATTAGAAGGATTAGAGATTAAGTAAGATGGCTGAAAAGCGATAGCCATGTATCCCTGTCCTCGCTGAAATATCATTAGTTCACAAATCTATTAAACATCAAATATGTTCTTAATGGCTGTGATAGTGTTTCACTTCTTAACTCTTTTGTTTACTCTGTGTGGACGGACACATGTTTTAAAACATTGAACTTGTTTGTTCAAAAGAGTAAAGAAAATCCTGTTTTACATGCTATAACTGTCTGTCTCTTTCTGTTTCTTGTCTTCATGCATTTTTTTCCTCACCCTCGCACATCTGAAGCGTTGACTACTGTGTTTGAAGCAGTGTAAGTTTCATGAAAAATAACATGAGCCTGTTACTTCATGCTCCATCTCCAACAAGACTCTGGGCTCTAAAATGAAGCCATCAAACAATAGGAAAGAAGAACATCGACAGCAAGAGAAAATTACAGCACTCTTCTACGTCAATCAGTGTAATAACTCCATGTTGGACTCTGTCAAGGGAATCATGCTTGATAATACATGTGGTGTGTTCTGGTTAGTGAGAGAAGGACACAACAGATGAAATCACACAAGTCATAATGGTGATGTAGGGAACAACATCGATGTATTGAACAACTGAAATGGTCTGAATTCTGAAGACACAAACTGGAGGTGGGACCCGGTTTATATTGAGCTCAGGTTCAGTTTCACAGCTGGGCTTGTGTTTATGTCAATACACTTAGTTCATGAGTTCTGGTTTCGATCTCCTTGGTTCAGCTGTGCTTTTGTCAGTATCCTTCCATTCATTGTCTGTTGTGTTAATCTGCCTGCCGATTATCTGCTTCCATTTTCACTTCCCCATTTGTTTGATGAAGTCTCTTACTGTGCAATACTATGTGTTAGACAGGACTGAACGAGGAGCCACTGCTGCCAGCAAGATGGCACTGGTCTCTTTCTGACACAGGAATCTTTACTTCCACCCGATGATGATGATGATGATGGCTCTCACACTCAATGCATTACTAACTTCAGAATCATTCTCTCAAAACAAGGAAGTCTGGTCATTTGTGAACTAACTAATGATCTCTCTCTCTTTGTCTCTCTTTTCTCACAGATTTGCTCCTCACCACCGAATCAAATGAATTTGAGACCTGGATCAATAAGGTAGATTAGAGCATTACTTCCTTTCCTTTAATCTTTAACAGTAGTGTATTAACATTTAGGAGGGAATTCCCACTGCATGCAGTCATTCATTTGCATGGGCTGTCAGTACCCACGTGTCCGTTACCCTTCAAATTGCGCAAATTGAAATTGCGAATTGAAAATACGTACGAAATGGAAACATGTCAATTTCGCGAAAACTCCCGTTTATCGAAAAAAAGTTTTTACACTCGCATGAGGTGTTTTTTTAGGCAATTCAAAAAAGGGATATTTTGCAAAACTGCAATGGAAACAGTTTTTGCACATTTACAGTCAACTGACTAAGAAGGTGCAGTGTGTTTGGACCAAATATGAAACATAATTCTTTATTAAATTCATAAAAGAAAAAATAATTACAGGAATACTGGATTCTAAACCTCAAAGAAATGCCACAATCAAGACCTTGAACCAGAAAAGAGAAACACTTTATATGTGCCATTCACAGTATAAGGGTCTTTCCTTGCCATTAATGCTTGGATAACACGCCACGTCTCCTTCCATTAATAATAATATCTAGTGCGGTGGCTCTGATATATGTGTGTGTGTATATATATATATATATATATATATATATATAGGGGTTGGACAATAAAACTGAAACACTGGCCAATGTTGGAAGTTTCACATCTATATGCCTGGCGGCCAATCTTCAGAGTGAAGCACGGGTGGATCAGTGATGGTTTGAGCTCCAATATCATGACAATCCTGATTGTATTTGATGGACACGACACTGCCGAGGACTACCAAACCCTTCTGGAGGATCATGAGCACCTGATGCTCAAACCGCTCAAACCGCATGATCATGCACCAACACACACAGCAAGACTTGTGACAGAAGGGTTTGATGAAGATGAAAGTGACGTTGAACATCTCCCATGGTCTGCACAGTCACCAGATCTGAATATTATTGAGGTGTTTTGGAGGAGCGAGTCCACCAGCATCATATAGTGACCTGGACACTGTTCTGGAAGAGGAACGGCTCATAATCCCTCAGGTCACTGTGAAGGACTTCTATCTGTCAATTGGTGCTGTATTTGGATGCAAAATGAGGCCCTCACCATTCTAACAAATTATTGTGTTGTAAGACCAGGTGTTTCAGTTTCATTGTCCAACCCCTGTATATATATATTTATATATATTTGCCATGATTTTTGGAATGACTTATCGCGAGAGAAAGAAAATATGTTATGTTTTATGTTTTGTTTTTTTTACCTCGGTTAATGGAAACGCTGTCATTTCACAAGTTTGTTAGTTTTTATCGATATTTAGAAAAAATCGCAGCAGTTTTGCACAAATCTGTAATGGAAACGTGGCTAATGTTGTCTTCGCAAAGATTAGCTAAAGAGTTATGCATATCAGGTAACGGCCACAAAGAAATTAGCAGTTTGCGTGGTGATTATCAGGGATGAAGGAGCCCACCTCACACTGGCTTACTTTACTTTACTGAAACCATACAACATTACTACCATCACAGCGATCTGCATCTGAATCTGCTCTTTAAAACACTCAATGCATTCTACTACACAACATGTCTGCATATGCACCAAGTTATAGCAATCCTTTCCCTCATTTGGCAGATAGCTCCCATGATTAGAAAATGAACACAAGTACCTCTTTTTTAATCAATTATTTCTGCGGCAGTGACATTTAATCAGAACACTCTTGTGAATAAGGCATGTTTGCATTGAAAAGAATAACTAACCAAATTGAAATATTCACAGCAGTTTTTGATGTGAATATATTCGATGTTAAATTGGATTGCAGGTGGTTGTTTGTAGTCTAGGTTTTTGCTGTTAAATATGTGCAAAAATAGCTAACTTTTGTTAAAATTCTGTTAATTTTAGTCAGATGGACTCTTAATAGAAATGTTTTATAATGTTCCTTGCTATATGGTAATTAAAGTGTTTGTTTTTTGCCACTTAAACTAAAATATTGTTACAATTAAAAATAACTGTTGTCTATTTTAATTTATTTTATTCCTGTGATGTCATTGTGAAAGCTGTATGTTCAGCATCATTACTCTAGTCTTCAGTGTCACATGATCCTTCAGAAATCATTCTAAAATGCTGATTTGCTGCCCAAGAAACATTTCTCATTATTATCAGTTGAAATCAGTTGTTTTTGATTAATTAAAAGTTCAAAAAAAGAACATTTATTTAAAATAGAAACATTTTGTAACATTATAAATGGCATTACTGTCACTTTTGATTAATTTAATGTGTCCTCTTTGAACAATGTATTCATTTCTTTAAAACAAAATCATACAACAGACTTTTGAATGGTAGTGTATATAAAGGTAGAGAGAGAGAGAGAGAAAGGAAGTTATGGTGAGAAAGGAATGTAACTCAATTCAGGAATGCATGTGTGGTCTTCCATGTGCGCTAAATTCTAGGTCACAGCTTCGACATTAGTCAGAGTTGTTTTTAGTGTGTGAGAGCCTGAAGAACACCGAGTCAGAGGTCAGAAAAGAAAGTGTTATGACAGGCAGCAAAATGGATGGAAAGACTTAAAGTAGAAATAAAACTAGCATATCAAAGGTGAAAGAAGTAGACACAGAGTTCCATAAAGGAGCATCTCTGAGCAGGTGGGAAACTACAGAAATAGCAGATGATAAATAGCTGCACACTGTGAGCGAGAGAGAGAGAATTGCAATGTGCCGCAGTGACCCGAGCCGACTGTAAAAGGTCAGCGTGCGTCTTCTTGAAGCACTGCAGAAGCATTTCCGGAAGCATTTCCCCGTGCCCTCTATTCTTTCCCTGCGTCGCACGAGTCCATGGCGCTTCAAAGATACAGAGGGAGGGAGTCAGGTTAGATTGCCTCTCCTCCTCCCGCAGGGCTCCTCATCATTTCATTCTGAGAGCGTGGGGCTGGTGACAAGTGCAGGGATGGATAAAATGACATGCTGTGAAGACAGACAGGCAGGATGGAAATAAAGAAAAGGAGGAGATAAGTGGGTGGATGATTAAAGAGGGGGAGCGATGGGCGATTGCTAATCACATCTGAGGCAGCAGCCATTTTAGACTCTGCTTAGTTCATATTCCTTGAAAGAGGCTTAACGGATCCGAATGAAAAACACAGCTGATTGGTGACTAGCCTTTGATTACTGTCTCTTACACACATAAACAAACACACATTCACAATTGTACTTGCGCACACCCACACACACACGTTTACAGGGAAATGTCTCCCAGTAAAACCGCAGTAGTCCTGCCACTATTTACTGTGAGGTTTTGGAGTTAACAGTCTTTGGTCACAGGCCAGTGCCCTCTGCTTCCTGTAGCACACTCCGTTTTAATTACTTTCCTCTCGCACTCCTTAAACACTTAGTCCCAACCCTGATTATACACACGCGCACACAGCAGCTCCAGTGTTTGTTTAAATTGAAAAGCTTCAGCTGTAGACTCCATGCAAAGCCATTTCTGTAATACAAGACGCCATCAGTCATTTCAGCAGCTAGACGGAGCCGCCCGACCAAACAAGACAGAAAATATTAACCCTCTGATTCTTTAGCTTAGTCAATTATTCGTTTTTCCTTGGTTTAAGTTATAGAGTTAACCTGCCATTTGGTGAAAACACCATGACTGTGTAATTATGACTGCCCTTGGAACATTAATGCATTCATATGTGCTCACCTCATGATCCCAATCATGGCCGCCACACGTGTTGTGTCAGTCGCACAAGAGCCACACGATCCACCAGCAGCCTGTGTTTACAATCCAAAGCCTCAATCAGGCCATCTTTATGCGCTTACTCTACAATATGTATATAATATCAGACTTCAGACCTCTGGATGTATAGAGCGTAGATAGTAATATTGTTCTCCTGTCAAGGCACAGGATAGATTTAGCTCCTCTTTTATGAGATCTGTTAATGATAGAGGATCCTGATGTCATACAGACATGCATATTAAAAAAATCAAAGCGATTTCTCAAAATGATCACAGGACGATCCACCATTTGCATAGCCTAGAAATCTAGACGCACCCTAGGGGCAGCAAAAATTATTTTGCAGCAAAGTGTGGTCTAGCAACTCTCCATTGGCTTTCGAAGTGGAAAAACCAAACTCTGGTCCGGCCAATCACATCACAATCACAGAGTTGTGACGGTTCTGCGCCGTGATTTCCATAGGTGAATTCCCTGCTACTTAAAAACAAACAAGATGCTGCTGGCGAACAACGATCTTTCGATTCGGATTTGGCCGCAACTCTGGATGACTTGGAGTTAAGAGAACGTCACTTAAGTTATTCTTAAAAAAGGAAGATGTGTTCGGAGTTTTGACGACAGGATATGGCAAAAGTTTAATATCAACTTGCTCCGCTGGAGAGAAAACGCATTGGACTCACTCATCCACAGCCGTTCGTTGCTCTGGTTGGTTGTGGCGCTATCCTATTGCGTGCAGAGGGATATTGAAATACAACCTTTTGTCCCGCCCCTCGGATTGAGGTATGCCAATTGTGAGTTCCCAGACCTAACGTCTTGATAGTTCTGGCTTGCCAGGCTACCATTTTCACCATTTAAAAAATAAAAAATAAAAAAAATGGGTGATCTGAAAACACGGACAAACATGTTAGAGTTTAGTGATCTCCATTACATTGAATTAAAGAATACAGCCAGTCTCTGTTCTTTAAAGAGGCTGCTTGTGCTATTTGATGGGACAGAATATTTTCAGTGACAAACTCTTAATGAAAAAAGCTTCTTAGTGACAAACTCTAATAAATCTAGGCTTAATCGTTTGTAATTGTGTTTGCTGAATAAATTCTCGTATGCAACCTTTGTTGCATAAGTGAATTTATGCAACAATAATAGTGTGTACAACAATACAGATGTGTGTTTTGAGATATAAAAATTACTGGAATTAATATTTGGAACTTCACTGTTTTAGTTTTTGAGGAAAATTCCTCAAACTATTTTTGAGCAAACAAAATCGGTTTAACGTATCAGTTTAAAGATAATCAGTTTAACCAT